GACAGTTGTTTGTATATATATATATATATACGAGATACCTCAAAATTACAAAAACACCCTCTCCCCAATTTCCCCGCCTCTCGCACTGCGCCATCGTCCCGTCCGGTAAACAAACCCTGCTCTCCGCTCCATTACGCCGCCGCCGGCGATGCGTTTCCCATTCTTCATCCCCTTTCTTTCCTCCTCCTTTCCCAACACCGGCCACAAATCCGCCACTGCTGGTTCTTTCTCGCACATCTTCGTCGCCCCACCCCGCTCAAGCATCCTAACGAACCCCACATAACCTTGCGATCCGGCGATCTCCATCGCAGTCTTCCCCTTCGCCGTCCTCACCTCCAGATCCGCCCCGCTCTTCACCAGTACCTGCACCGCCTCGCCTTGCCCCGCCTCCACCGCGCAGTGCAGCGCCGTGTACCCCTCCTCATCCCTCGCATCAATCTCCGCACCCTTCTCAAGCAAAACCCTAATCACTTCCATCCATCCCTTAAACGCCGCCACCATCAGCGCCGTCCAACCCCTTCCATCCCTCGCCTCCACCGATGCTCCGACATCGATCGCCCCTCTTAATGCCCTAACATCCCCTCTCCTCGCCGCCCCCATTAGTCCCTTATCCGCTCTCATCAGACCAAAGAACCTCTGTTGCCATTCTTCCCCCGCCGACATTAGAATTTCTGCACAATCCCGCTGCTTCTCCCCGACTGTCAAATTCAGCGCCGTCCGCCCATCTCTGGCCACTTCATCCACCTCCGCTCCTTTCATCAGCAGCATTCGCAGAAGCTCTGAATGCCCCGCGGCCGCTGCAAGGTGCAGCGGGCCGTAATCTGATCTCTGTGATCTCGCCGTCGATGCTCCCCGCGCAAGAAGAAGCTCTGCAATGATCGTATGTCCGTAAACCGCCGCAATCTCCATCGGCGACCTCCCCTGGCTCGGTGCCTCCACATCGGCTCCGAATTCTAGGAGGAGTTGCACGAGATCTGCGCGGCCGGACACAATGGCGATCTGCAGAAGCGTCCTTCCGCGAGCATCGGTTGAATCAGCCGCACGCCAATCCGGATCGCTCTGCTCCAACACCTCCCGCGCCTTCTCCATATCACCTTCCTCGATCAAACGCGCGAGGACTGCAGATCCAACATAGAAGACGCGGAGACCAGTGTCAGTGAAGACTTCCTTGTTCTTTCCATTGAACCAGCTGCGTGGGACGGCGTTTGAGTTCGCGCCGACGCAGATGACGGAATCGAGGTAGAAGGAATCCTCCGATCGTGGAACAGAGTCAGGGATGAGTTGTGGATGAAGGTAGGTGATCTCGATTCTGATGGTGGATAGAGGTGCGATAATGGCGGTCTGTGGTCGGATCTTGAACCAGCGAGAGGAGTCGGAAGGCGACCGGCATGGTGTGCATGGTGTTGCGCAAGGTCAGGATGCCATAGCAGCGCTGGCCAGGCTCGATCCGGATCACTACCTGCTTTGAAGGTTCGAGGTTTATCAATCGATCCATGTCTGCAACTTCGTTCTGATCTTGTTGGTGTTGAGAGTCTCGATGGGAATCATGGATTTATAGGAGCATGGGGAGGAGAAAATACTACATCCCATTTCCTCACGTCCGGACGATCAACTGTCAGACATCACGTTGTCAACACTTCATCGTCAGACAACGTGGCCGCCGACAGTTGACCTTGCAATCGTCCCGACGAAATAGTTTTATGTGAGGAGAGGGGAGGAACAATTTTATGGGATTTTGTAGTTGAGAATCATAATATTTTAGTTGTTAATATTATGATGATATTTTAGATGTTATTGATAGTATTATGATGATAATTTACAATAATGTCGTCATTATATATCATTAATATCCAAAATACCGTCATCCGAATCTGATCCAAACACAACTTATCCAGACGTAATAATTTCTATAAAATAGAAAGAATTTGATGATAAAAAATGGATTTTTTTTATGCTTATTCATGAAGAAGAGCATGAAGATTGAATTCTGAAATTAATTCCTTGAGAGTGATTTCACTTTTGTTTTTCTCTATCCTTTGACTTTTATATTTTGGGCTGCCAAAAAAAATAGTTGTTTGGGAACAGATTGGCTCGTCAAATAGCTCTATTTTTTAATAGTTTATTAATTAATTAAGTTTAATTAATTTTTTAAAATTTGAATTATAAACAATTTGAACGTGGGCAACTCTTAATTTGACTCTTTGTTTGATCTTGTTCGGCTATTTTTAATTTGAAATAAATAAATTATATATATTATTTATATAATATTTTTTATATACAATTGATTAAGATTTTATATAAACTTTAAAATAATAAGTGATTAAATGTTTAAAGGAAGTTGTGTGATGCATCAGACTTCAATGTTGGAAGAAGTTGTGATGATTTGAAACTTTGTACTTCATTAACTTCTTGATTTGATCAATTAAGATGCTAATTATATATATATAAGTTTAAATGATTTGAGGGATAAAATTATAGAATCATATTTACAACGTTAATAATTTTTTAGTAAAACTTAATGCTAATAATGAAGTGGGAAATGTAGATGCTTACCACATAAGCCCTATGGATTGACATATTCAACCCCTAAAGTTCGATACTTACATTTATAATAACTTCATGTGCATGAAATGATGAATGTAATTCTTAGAGTTTAGGCGTCGAGATATGTAAGTATATAAGAAATTTATGGTGCTTATGGCACTTGCATGTAATGTTGGACTTCAAGAAGTGAACTATGGATGCAATTTTAGATTTGAGGTTATGTAAATGCATAAGAATTGTGTTATGTGCTTTTAAAGGTAAATTTACATATCTAACATACAATTCTTATATATTTATGTATCTAACGACTATTTTATAAAGTAATAATGATGATATCTCTTTAATTGATATTGAAGTTATTAGTGTTATGTGTCTAAATATGAACATTTAAATTTGAGATATGTAATTATGTAAATGTGGGTAATATATATGTAATTTCTTCTTATTTCGTTTAGGGATAATTACATACATAGCACTGAAAATATTACTATTCACAAAATGTAGCATCTAAGTGATATTTTTGAACTATCAAATCGATGTATTTACGCATGCAGACACGATCAAACCATTGATAATTTGATAAGAATGAAAAATATGGCTTGGTGTTTTATGATGAATTTCGATATTTGAGTGAGAATTTGAAAAATAGATGAAAGATGGTATTAGATTTGTAAATATTAATATTTCAAGTGCCATGCATAAATTTCATCAAGACAACGTACATTCAGATAGTCAACAATTGCGACCACGTCGCCATACACGTCAACGTCAAGGAGGTCAACCATAGCGGTCACTTCAACATACACATCAGTAGAGGGTGATGTGACCGTCGGTTGTTGATTGTCCGGATCCGAACTAAATACATTTCCCTCATATTGGGTAAATGGGGACATCTTAACCGCCGTTAAGTAACGTCGCCGTGGAATGGACGGTTCGCGAGCACCATAGTCGGAGCCGGGCCTAGGGCCGGAGGCCGGAGAGTCGGTCAATCAATCTAAACAGTTCGGAGAAGAGTTAGACGAAGACGAAGAAGAAATCTGGAAGGAATGAGACCTAACATCGTCACAGAGGTAAAGAATTTCCTCAACCAATTCAGAGATCTTTCTTTCCTTCCCCCGATTCATTACCCTTTCACCGTCTCCATTCACTTAGGTTTTACTAGATTTCACCCCCAATTTCTTCTATTTATGGCCAGGGTTCTTTGAAGCTGTGATCAACTGATCATGTCAAAGGGAACTATAATGGAAGTTATGGAATGATATACTGTTTTCCATCTGTTATACACTTGTACTAGCGAGCTTTTGAACAGCTGGATCGTTAACCTCGGATTTGTTTTGCTCGTTTATTAAATGTTTCTCAAGGATTATTTTCTTTTGTGCGCTGCATTATTGTCTGTGGACTGATGCCCGAGATGTACTTGTGTTTCCTATTGGGATTCGACATGTAAGATATATATGAATATGATGTGTAGGGATTAGAGGGTGAATTTATTTGTTTTACGGCTGTTCGGTAGCCGGTTTTAAGCTGTATTTATACTGGATTTATGCTGAATCCTGCCAAACTGCAAAAAAAAAGCATTGGCAAATCCTACAGACTCTTAAATCCCTTTTTTCCTTGGTTTTGCCTTAAATCAGGGATTTAGTAAATCCAGTTGGAAGAGGGATTTATGGGATTTGGAGAAGCTATAGCCTGGGGGAAGATAAATCCTACTGAAGTTGTCAAACAAGTTCTCCAGATTTATTAGGATTTGTTTTTTAAGATACCAAACAGTTTTGAAGATTTAACCCCTTCAGGATTTCATAGATCTAGATTTGCACGATTTACTAAATCCTATTTAAACTAAATCCTACTTGCAACCAAACATCCAACATTGTATAAACAGCTAGAGCATTACATTATATTTTTAAAATTGCTTTGTTGATGACATGTAAGTAGGTTTCACTGATAAATTTGCATTAATAGGTGCAAGTTGTATAGTTTTTGTTGTTTTATGGATCAAACTATATTGCAATGAAAATTTCATTGATATGTAAGTTGAGCGTGGTAGAGACTTGAATCTTAACATGGACATGCAGTAAAATTTAGAAGAATAGATCAATTGATGATTGTATTAGATGAACTGTTGGAGCGACATTTAGTGAAGATGAGGTAATTGATAATCAAGCTGGCCTAGTAATCATAGAGAGAAAAATGAAATGACATGATCGTCAACCCATCAAGCTCTGATATTTTAATTATTTGAAAATTGAATCTTAAGTTTTCAACTCCTGCAATAGTTTATGTGCTTTTCTATGTGTCTTGTTATTTATGTTATGTAAATTGTTCTTAGTTCCAATTTTGATTTCCACATGCCCTTGGGCTGTTCAGGCAGGACTTCCAACTAGGTTGAACCAATGGTGGGCTGGTATTCCATTTATTACTTCTAGTGTGACAGTTATTTGTGGGATAATTTACGTGGTATGTTTATTGGCCGGGTATGACTCGTTTGCCGAGATATGTTTCTTTCCTTCTGAAGTGGTTTCAAGGTTTCAAGGTAAGAGTTTGGGCAACCTTTTTCTTTATAATTTAATGCGTCCAGTTGTTTTCAACTTTTAAATCATTTTGAGTGATCAACTTCTGTAATTTTATTCCACATAGATGCTAAATTGAATGTAGCTGATCAAGGGAATGCAGAAGGAACATATTTAAAGTAAAAAGAGGTTTCAATAAGGCCCATTTGGTTGCTTGAAATTAGAAAGCATGAAAAAAAGAACGCTAAGTCTTGCTAATTGAATTATTATGTTGGCTGCAGTTAGAAATCAACAGTGGATTTTACTTTTGATTTTAAGCTCCACAACCCTCCTAAAACTTCCATAATTTTAAAATTTCAATTTCACATAGAAATTTTGCAAAATAAAATTATCATTTTTCAATTGTATCTACAAACAATCAAATGGGCCATAAATGAAGGAGTTGCATGATAATAGTGGAAGTTCACTATCTTAAAAGTGCACACACTATCTTAAAATTACACAAATTCATCCTCTCAAAATGATAGGGACTCACTTAGTATCTTTGGAAAATTACTTACCTAAACAAGAGGAATCTCTCATTCTTTCACATGGTTGAAATTAGCAAGGACATGGCTACCTAAAATTTCTCCTTACATAAGTTAATTTGATCACCAAACATGAAGTCTTTGGCAATCAAGTGAGGTTATTATTGGAGGTTGTGCTTGTTCAGAAGTACTTCAATATTTACTTCATAATTAATTGGGGATTGTTAAGGATTGGGTTATATGTTTCTCAATGGCTATTGCATTAAAGATGTACTAATATTATTTGTGATGTAACATTTTCAATTTTATCTTATAGCTAAACGATGTTAAGCTCTTGGAATCAAAATATGTTATAATATTAATATTGCAATGTTGAACTCACTATATTAGTATTGCTAATAACAACTTTCCTGTATTGCTCAACTTTTCTTATAGACTTTGTTGCAAATCTAGATTAAAAAAAAAAAAAAGATATTTAATCATACTAATATATTATAACCGTTAATCATTTTTTTCATCCTATATATCATTTGAAGGATATTCACGAACTCAAAAAGTTTTCAGTTCATATTTAGTCATACATAATTTTTTGGTGTTGGTGCCTGTTTAGTAGTCTTTAGATGAGATGGTAATGAATTTTTCTTAGAAATGTTATTCATATATGCAAATATTCTTAACGTGTAGATAATTTTAATGCTTCTCAATCTTTAAAAATTATGTAATGCCTTATCTTATATGTTTATAGAATTTAATGCTTCTCAATCTTTAAAAATTATGTAATGCCCTATCTTATATGTTTATAGTGTTACTTAGTTCATACTTAATTTTTTGTCCAAGACCTTTTATGAAACGTAAGGATATCTCATGTGTTGTCAAGGGTAAACATTTTAAACCTAAGGATCTCTCTTGTGCTTCTAGCAATCGCCTTGATGATTGGTTTTGATTGCCAAATCATAATTGGAGGCATTCATCTTCAAAATCAATATCCCAACCATAAAAACAAAGTCAAAATCATTCCCTTATGGTTGGTACAATTATCTTTTATCATAGCTGGAGGGGGATCCTCATTATAAAATATCTTTTTAAAATTTCAATAAAAATACATTTTGTGCTCTTTTCCCATTAACGGGCATAATCATTATAAATTAGAACTGGAGTAAAACTCTATTGAAATCAGCTTCCCCTATAGATTAAAATAATTATGAAATAAAATAAAAATTGTAGACAAAAATCCGTTGATGTTAGAAAATGCAGTTTTTGTTGATATACTGCTACACCACAATTGGACTACTTTAGCCCAAGGCAGGTGGAGTCACTCGAACAGAAATCCTGCTAGACTACATTAGCTGCAGAATAACAAATCACTCCAAAACTCGTTTATCTCCATACTTCCTGCCCTAACTCAACCACAAAACAGCCACAATAACTCCATCACATAAATGAACAGTAGCTGCACTGCGCGACAGAGAATCCATTATGCCTCGCCGCGAGAAGATCAACCATGACACCAGGTCACTTGGTATTGAAGTACCCAACTCAGCCTATCCTTTCTTCTTTTCGAGAAAAATAATAATAATAATAATAATAAAAAAGGATAAAACTTTCAATCGTCAAATTAATTTTTTCACTGTCACTTGTACGAAAAATATTGTTATGTTTTTCATTTACTTTATGAAAATTGGGGCGTCTGTTTTCTTGCTCTAATATTTTGTATGCATGTTTTTATGCAAAATTTTAGTTGATGTTTATGTTTCTTCAGTGTACAGGATTTATACAGCTGTTCTCTTTCATGGATCCCTTCTGCATGTTGTTTTCAATATGTTGGCACTTGTACCTCTGGGGACAGAGCTGGAGAGAATCATGGGATCCATTCGTCTGCTGTACTTGATGATCTTGCTTGCTACAAGCAATGCTATTTTCCATCTCATTATAGCTTTAATTGTGTCCCACAATCCTCTACACGCATATCCATTTCTCATGCATGAGTGTGCCATTGGTTTCTCGGGAATAATATTTTCTATGATTGTTATAGAAACCAGCCTGAGTGGCGTACAAGCTAGAAGGTTGGTTTTTATTGGATTATAAAGGAGTAGTATTTTCTGTTATATATCCTATTAATGAAAAATCTTGTTATTTTCTTCATTTATTTTTTATTATTTATTTATTTATTTATTTTTATGAAAGAAGATCATGTTGGAGCTTATGTAAAATGCTAATAAATTTTGATTGTCTGCTTTTGTTAATTTTTATGGTGTTGTTAACTCTGGTTATATCTCTCTTATTCTTGCAGCGTTTTTGGACTCTTCAATGTGCCTGCCAAGTGGTATGTCGCATATACATGCAATTAATTTAATTTACTCTACATTTCTAAGATTTAATTTAGTCATTTATAAAGCGGTAACTTCTTTTCAACAAAGAGATAATATTTATGTACTAGGTATGCGTGGATACTGTTGGTACTCTTTCAACTTCTAGCAACAAATGTTTCATTGTTGGGACACCTGTGTGGAATTTTATCAGGATTTGCATGTATGCTTTTCTTTTTTTTGCTGTTGTTTACTTATCCTTGCTTCTGGGATATTTAACTTGTTTTTTAATTTGTTTTTCATTTTGCATCAGACTCTTATGGATTATTCAATTACTTTTTACCCGGATCATCCTTTTATGGTGCAATTGAGAGCTCATCACTTTTAGTAAGTTATCTGAACCTTCTTATTTTTCCTTCTTATGTGAGTAAAATAAGTGGTTGCATGGAGATATTAATGTAGTAATGATTTCAAGCATCGACGAGATAGCATAGTTTATAATGCTTTTAGTGTTGCAAATATTCTAGTACATTCAGGTAAAAGTACAATAATCATCAATTTAATTGTGCAAACTTCAAATCATCCATACTGTTGCAGAGTTTAATCTTTGAATCTTTCTACATAATCATATGATAAGTTTCAACACTTCAAAATAAGAGGACGCGACAGCCTTTCTCGGTGTGATTTAAAGAACATATTGATACAGAACCAGAAAGTGAAGGAAAGATCAGGAAAGAAGTTGAACGGAGAACTGAAGGAGAATTTCAGAGAAGAGTAAGAAAGAGAAAAACTAGGTTTTTTTTATATCAAGACTTAGTGTGTGTGTGTCAATTATAGCCTAGTTTCCCTATTTATAAACATCACATGCTTCAGCATGACCGAGTACAATGAACCAACCAATATAAGATGAAACAACAGTTGGTGGACTGTTTTGAACTAGTTACTTTAGAAAATGCACTATTAAATGGAGATAGTTTTATATGCTAGTCTTAAGACCATGTTGAGCTTTAATTGAAGATGATACTGATAATTAGGATGACATTGCACACTGTCTGAGGATGGTGGTGATATTCTGCCATTCGAGTGGGCCCTTTTAATTCTCTTTTAATTCTTTGATGGCGGGCTTGATATATTTGGTTAATAATTAGGCCCACCATGCAGCATCTATATTAATTTTTAATATAGTTATACTGGGTTTTGTATTCTACTATGATCCTATAATATTCTGAACCCATTAATTTCATTTTTGAAATAAAACAGAAAATGTAACCTTTTGAAGGTGTCTATTATGTTGGCTTTAAAAAGTAAACGTTGATTAATTTTGGTTGTTCATTTTGTAACACCATGATTTGTGTTCAAATGATCATTGCACAACTTGGTGTAAATGGTACAATAATTTTTTTTAGATTTTAGAAGTTTTGAGCACTGAAGATCTAGGTGATTTACTATTGGCTCACCCATTATCCTCAACTTAGTACATCAAAACAAAACCAATCTCGAGCCTTAGACCTCGATATATTTGGATATATCGAGGGTTTAGGGTTTGATGCCTTATTTGGATAGTCGTCCTTGAGCCTTATTTGGAGCCTTATTTGGATAGTCGTCCTCGAGTTTGATGCCTTTAGCCTTAATCCAACTGTTAATTATCTTATGGTTGCAATGATATTACATGGTTATTTAAGGACATAGATTGGTTAACGACCTTATGAATTCTCAATGTCCTTAATCAAAGGACATTTTCCTGTAAGATTCATTAAAATACAAGAGGAATTTCTTTTATTCTTGGTGTGGCTCTAGTAGTGATTTTTGCTTGGAATAAAAATTATTTAATTTTTTTCCATTCCGGGTCCATTCACACTATTTGTTTGTTGAACTTTGTGTCATTTTTTTGTTACTAACTTGTACAGTGAAACTTTTTCTTAGTCCTGAATCTCTCAGCTAGGGGTTATGTTTCTTTCCATGTGTAAAGTTAAATTTGATATTTACTTATATTTACTTAAAAATTTTAGCATATTTAATTGCTTTTAGAGAAATCTGTTGTGAAATGCCTTGTTTTTGCCACAACATATTTTTCTCTTCTATACTAGCTTGGGCCAAGGTTTTATGTGTAAGGAGGGTGTATTGATATGTGCTTTAGTGGCGAAGGAGAAATCTGGAGCTCTGCATGCGCGATAGATGGACCGACAAAGATGAAGATGAGGATTTGCATGGGAGGATTTGGCCATGTGAGTATGCGTAACAGAGGCAAACCGTGTGGCCAGGAAGTCCATTTTTGATCTTTTGGAAGGCTTTGGGTGTGTTATAGGTAAATAGTAAGTTTATGGGGGTAGATATGTAAATAAATAAGTTTAAGATGCCATGTATGTAAATTCCCCTTTTTTTCAGTAGAGAGGGGATTGTGGTTGTTTGGTGGTTTGTCTCTGGTAAAGAGAGGAAAGTATATAGTGTGAGGGAGCAAAGCTTGCCGGAGCTACTGGGAGGAGCTATGCAAGTAGTGATCGGGTGGGAGTGAGTAGAAGCGGACTACTGCTTATTGCGGCTGAGATTTACTCGAGACAGAGAACAACAAATGGGAAAAAGAAAAGATTGAAAATGTTAGTGAGAATTCGGGTGTAGGTTTGTGGAATATGGTTGGTTTGGCTTTTTGCTACTTTAGCCAAGTGGAGAATGTTCTCGGGTTTTGGCTTGGCGGGAAGAGCTGGTGACGTGAAATGGGGAAGGAAGAGTTGATTGACTTGGGGTTATGTGTGACGGGAACCACATGAAGAGAAACTGTGGGAATGAGCTGGAGGTGCACATCGGTGTTGAGGTTGCTGGAGGTTTCGCCGTCATGAGGGTTTTAATTGCGTAAGACAACAGGCGGGTAGGTCTCGTTAGCAACCAGGGCTCTTTGTCGGTTTTGGATGGAAATGGGGGGAGAGGTCGTCGGCGATGGTTTTTTAGCCTGAAGTGGAGATTGGATCAGTAGAAGGATAACAAGAGCTCACTAGCGAGATGAGGACAGCTGGGTTTAGGCAAGAGATAGGTAGAGCGGCAGATTTTAGGCCGATGCAACTTGTTGGCGGTGCTGGGGTGAGAGATTTGCTGGTATGTGACAAGTAGCAACTGGGTGGATTTATTGCCGACGAGGGAGATGGGAGAGGAGATTTGTGCGAGTTTGAATGGCGGGAGAGAGTCCGGAGGAGAGGATTGGGAGAAGGATTTCGGTCTGGGAATGTGAGGGATATCGCGTGGGTTTCGCGAAAGGGGTTTTTACATATCAACCACACAAAATATTGAATATAACATTTTAATCACCAAAACTTTAAATATAACATTTTAACCACTTCTTTCATTATAATCACCATTCTTTACCTATTAGTGAAGGCTTTGAGTGAAAGGTTTAGGTGGTTAAAATGTTTTATTTAAAATTTAGGTGATTAATATGTTATATTTAATGATTTGGGTGGTTGATATGTAATGTCTATTCGCAAAAATGGCTAGGGAGAGCTCTGAAAGGAAACAAGCATGTCAGGAGTTTTTAGGGTAATTGATTTCTTTTAATGTTTTATTTTTGAATAATTTTAATATATTTTATTCTTTTCACTTATAACAAGGGAAGTTGGAAATGTAGAATACAGTCATAGACCTATGTGGCTTGGCAATGACGATTTTCATGCCTTTAATATAAATTATTTATTTATATATTTAAATATATTATAAAATTTTATTTAATTGTTATATAATATATATATTCTCTCTTTTTTAGTAAAATTATATATAAATTTTTTATATATTTTATTTTAGTCTAATATATATTTAAACTAGTTTATATTATTTTTTATATTTATTTAATTGATGGATAGTATATGTATATTTTTATTTTGACTCAATATTTGTTATCCACTCGCCTTGAAATGCAAGCATTTCGTCTCGTGTGTAGGTAGATTGGTATTCCACAATCATGCGTGGACTCGCCAAGTATTTTTGACATTTTGTATGCATCAACACGGATCATCTTCATGAGCAAGCGTCGTTTGGGCAGCTTGATGACAACCAAAGTAATTTAAACTTGATGCTTGCATCATCATATTTTTTGTGAGCAACATTTGTGGAATAACACTTCTTTGATATTTTCGGTGTGATTGCTGAGTTATGAAAATTATATGGAGTTCAATAATAGCAAACTACTAAAAGCAATAAACTTGAATTGTTAAGAAAAAATCTATCTATTTTTCAATATATAACCAATATTGCTGACATTGCCATTATCGGTCCCAAGTTCGGATGTGAAAAGTGGAGACTTGTGTTAGGTAGTCGACAACCAGCGTAAAATTTGTCGAAATAATTATGACATGAATCATTTTGATCATTTTGTAAGTGTTAGGGTGTCCCCTAAAAGAGACGCGCTGTATGACCTGAATACTGTGATAAGTGTGCAAAGATCACTACACCGATATCTGGGTGTAGTGTCAAATAAGCAAGGGTTCCCACATTACGGGCGAATGCAGATAAATAAGCTAGTTCATGAAACTATTGAAACTAAAATTAGGATAGAATCTTGGAATATAGGTACTCTCAATGATAAATTAATAAAATTAGTTGATATTATTATTCATAGAATGATTAATATCTTATGTATTCAAGAACTTAAATGGTAAAAATGAGGTCAACAGTGTGATAAAAGACTAAGGAGATTGATAACTTAGGCTTTAAACTTTGATATTTTGGTAAGAGTCACACTAGAAATGTTGTAGATGTAATTATACAGTTTGAAAGATAATGTTGTAAAAATTAATAGAGTTGGTGATAGAATTATAGCCCTTAAGATTATTATTGATACTATGATTTTTAATTTTATAAGTGTTTATGCTCTTCAAGCAGGTCTAGATATAAGGACAAAAGTAAACTTATGAATTAGAAGACTTAATACAAATGATACTTCTTGAAGAAAGAATTTTTATTGGAGGAGATTTAAATGGACATGTTAGAGTGGTAGAAACATTCAAAAATATTCGTGGTGGCTACGTCTTTGGAGTGATTAATGAAGAAGGTAGAACTATTTTAGATTTTACTTTATCGTTAGATTTTATTATTACTAATACTTTATTCAAGAGAAGACACGGGCATTTTATTACTTATAAAGATGGATCTAGTAAAATACAAATTGATTATTTTCTTATGAGAAGAAGAGATCGTCGAAATTGTAAATATTGTAAAATAATTCCAAGTGAGGATTTAAGTACCCAACATCGATTATTAGTTCTAGATTTTAAGTTGAAGAGCTGCAAAATAAAGAATGCTATGACTTTTTCTTATGAGAAGAAGAGATCGTCGAAATTGTAAATATTGTAAAATATGTTCAAATTGTCTATGCTTGAGATTGGTTTTGAATTTTATTATTTATTACTTATTTTTAAGATGAAGATTTGTAAAATAAAAAATACTGGGACTCATCATCGTAGAATTAGATGGAGGAACTTAAAAGACAAATAAAATTATTTTTATGAGTAAATTTCAAGATTTCAAAATTTGTGATGTTCATGAAGAAACAAATGCTATATGGGATGAAATAACAAATACCATTAAACAAGTAACAAAAGATGTACTTAGAGAATCAAAAGGAAAAATTTTTATAAATAAAAATAGTTGGCGATGGATAAATCATGTGCAAGAAAAGATAAAATATAAGAAATTATGTTATAAAAGTTGGTTTGATTGTAAAAGCTTAGAGAACTGAGAAAAATATCAAACGGTTCGCAGGAGTCTAAAAAACAATATGTGATGTTAAAAATTCTTTTTTTAGTGATCTTTATGATATATTAGATACTAAGAAGGGTGAAAAATATATTTATAAACTAGCCAAACTAAGAGAAGAAAAGTAAAGATGTAACCCAAGTAAATTGTATTAAATATGAGAATTAAAAAATATTTTTCATAGAAAAAGATATTCAACATAGGTGTGTGATATTTTGATAAATTTTTTAATTAAGTGTCTGAAAATACAATCGACCTTAGTGATCTTAATATCGTTACTATTAATAAAACGTTTCATTTTTACCATCACATTAGTAAAAAAGAAGTTGAGGAAACTTTAAAGAAAATAAAAGGCAAAAAATCCATAGGAAAAATACAATCGACCTTAGTGATCTTAATATCGTTACTATTAATAAAACGTTTCATTTTTACCATCACATTAGTAAAAAAGAAGTTGAGGAAACTTTAAAGAAAATAAAAGGCAAAAAATCCATAGGACCTAATGATATCCCAATTGAAATGTGAAAATATTTAGGAGATCTGGGAGTTTCTTGGCTTAACTCTTTCATATTATTTTAAAAACTAAAAAGATGCTTAAGGAGTAGAGGAAGAGTATTTGGTTCTCATTTTTAAGAATGAAGGGGATGCACATGAGTGTGCAAATTATAAATGAATTAAGTTGATGTGACATACCTTAAAATTGTGGGAGAGGGTAATTGAACATAGGATAAGACGTATTACAAAGATTTCTCATAATTAATTTGGTTTTATGCTGGGCAGGTCGACCATGGATGCTATACATTTATTGAGAGGTTTGATGGAGAAGTTAAGAGATAATGATGATAAGGAGGTTCTACATATGATTTATATTGATTTAGAAAAAGCTTACAATAAGGTTCCAAGGGATGTCCTTTGGAGCGTTTTTGAGAAGAAAGGTGTTGATATGACTTATATTCAAGTAATTAAAGACATGTATACTGGAGCTGTTACTTGTGTTCGAACTGAAGGACGATTAACCAAATATTTTCCTATTTCTATTGGTTTACATCAGGCATCAGGGATCGATTTTAAGCCCATATCTTTTTGCTTTGATTATGGATGATCTTACTGAACATTTACAGGAGAATGTAACTTGATGTATGTTTTTTGCTGATGATATCCTTCTCGTGGATAAGACGAGAGAAAAAACCCAGGAAAAATTTAAATTATTGAGACTTAACCCAGGAAAAATTTAAATTATTGAGGTCTACATTGGAGTCTAAAGGCCTTCATTTGAGTAGAACTAAAAATGAATACATGGAATGTAATTGTAGCAGTAGTAGCTCTAGTGTCAGAGTTTAACTTTGGGTAATCAAATTATTAAAAGGCGTGAAAGATTTAGTATCTCGAGTTTGTTGTTTAAAGCAATGGTGATATAGATGGGGATGTTAATAGTAGAATTCAAGTTGGTTGGTTGAAATGGAGGAATGCTTCGGGCCTTTTGTGTGATAGAAAAGTACAACTTAGACTGAAAAGAAAATTTTATAAGAGGGTGGTGAGACATGTAATGATCTATGGTGCTGAATGTTGGCCTTTAAAAGAGAAGCATAATATTAAGTTAAGTGTTGCCGAGATGAGAATGATTAGGTGGATGAGTGGATCTACACTTAGAGACAAAATACGAAATGAATGTATTCGTGATAGGGTTGGCGTAGCTCCAACGACGGACAAAATTAGAGAGAGTCGTCTTAGATGGTTTGGTCACATTAAACGTCAACCATCTGATGATCTGATTACGTGTGTAGATGTTTTAGATTTGACTTAAGATTTTTTAGATTTGACTTACGTTAAGAAAGGCAGAGGTAGACCTAGGAAGACTTGGGCTTATTGTATAAAAAATGATCTTAATTTATTAGAACTAAATGAAAATATGACACTAAATAGGACACAATGGAGAAAAAAGATTCATGTAGCCAACCCCACGTAGTGGGATTAAGGCTTTGTTGTTGTTGTTGTAATATAACCAATATTGCTAATTTTTTAATAAATGTCTAGAAAATTAAATTTTTGCTGCACCTCTAAACAAGTGATTTAAGTGATCTTTTGCATGTGACATGGTCATATACAATTGGATAATTTATGGGAATTGATCTTAGGGTGCGTCAGGGAGGCTGCTTCTTCGGTTTCTCATTTTTCGGAACGGTGAATGACACGTTTGGGAGCCATTTTATCGCATGTGTTTCACGAACAGCTGGACACAGATCGGTGAACGCCGAAATGCAGGGAGACCTTTGTGTTCCGCGGCGGGAGCTCCGTTGCGACTGGTTTTTGACGTTGTTGCTCCTCAAATCGCGTAATCCTAGTCCCATTGCCCCATATACTTCTCTCCCATCTCATCGTTTATTATCAGTCTTTAGGGCTAAAACTCGATTGCGCTCTTTTCCCTTCGTTGTCGGTGTTGTCGACTAGCTGCCTACCTCCGGTGTAGTTTTTTCCTTTATGGTTTTTGCGGATATGATTTCCCTTTGCTTCGTTGTCTTGTTCGGCTTCTGTGTTCAGTTAGGTGCGATATTTTTTTGCTTTGTTTGGGAATTTTTGTTGGACTTGTTTCTTATATGCATGTTCTGATGTTAGTAGGTCAATTTGTTTGTTCTTGCTTCATCATCAGTCTAGTTAAACATTCAGGGGGGAGACATCTGAGCATTGATTCAAATTTCTTTTATTTTAAAGATTTTTACCATTGAAAATGCATCTGTTTTTATGCAAACTTGAAGGTTACATGACAGATAAGTTAACATCTATTTCTCTAATGATCAATCAAATGAAGTTATGGGAGGATGGATATATGAGCACTGTTTTACAGTCTCTCTGAGAATTTTGTTGGAGTTATGTTTGATGTACCTGGTTCCATTTTTTTTTATCGAATTTCATATGTTTTTGTTAACAACTTCTATTGTTATCCTAATCAACCAGGTGAAGTTATGTTAGGAAATATATATGAGAAGTATTTTTATGTTTCAGTAAGAATTTCTGTGGATTTGTTCTGCATATATGCATGCGTTGATGTTGGTTGGTTGATTTGTTTTCTCTTTCATCTTCTTCAGTCTAGAACATTTTGGGAGGAGGATTTTGAACACTAGTTTGTTTTTTTTTAACTGAGAGAATTTTACCAATGAAATATCATATGTTTTGATACAAACTTGAAGTTTACTTGATATATAAATTAGAAGCATCTATACTTATCCTAATCAACTGGGAGAAATTATGGAATGAAATATATATGAGCATTGTTCTTTTGTTTCGTTAAGAATTTTTTGTGGATGCATATGCATGCACTTATGTTAATTGGTCGATTTGTTTGTTCTGGATTTTGCATATGTCTAGAGGAGCATTTTGGGGTGGGGGTGGTGCTTTTTTTTATCTGAGATTTTTACCAATGGAATAGCATATATTTTGATGGAAATTTAAAGTTTATATGACAAATAAGTTAGAAGCATCTATACTTACTATGATCAATCAAGAGAAGTTATGAAATGAAATATATATGAGTCTTGTGCTTCTATTTCTTTATGAATTTTTTCTGGACTTGTTCTGCATATGCATGTACTGATGTTAGTTGGTCGAGTTGCTTGTTATTGTCTTTTCTTCAGTCTACAGTAACATTTTGGGAAGAGAATTTTGAGCACAACTTTCTTTTTTTTTCTGAGAGATTTACCAATGGAATTGCATATGCTTTGATATAAACTTGAATTTTACATGACAGATAAGTTAACAGTATCTTTACTTAACTTAATCAACTAGGAGAGTTATAAAATGAAGTAGATGTGACTATTATTTTTCTGTTTCATTAACAATTTTTTGTAGACTTGTCTGCATATGCATGCACTGATGTTAGTTGGTTGATTTGCTTGCTCTTGCCTCTTTTTCACTCTAGAGGAACATTTTAAGGGAAGAATTTTAAGCACTTATTCTTTCTTTTTTATCTGAGAGATTTTTGTCAATGAAATTGCATATGTTTTGATGCAAATTTGAAGTTTATATAACAGATAAGTTATCAACATCTATATTTATCCTGATCAACTAGAATAAGTTATGGAATGAAATATATATGAACATTGTTTTTCTGTTTATTTAAAAGTCTTTGTGAACTTGTTTTGTATATACATGCATTGATTTTAGTTGGTCGATTTGTTTGCTCTTGCCTCTTCTTCAGTGTAGAAATATTTTTGGGGGGAGAATCTTGAGCACGGGTTCATTTTTTTTCTTGTTCGTATTTAATAATGTATTGTTTTTTTCTATAGTACATCCTTTTTCTTTATTTAGTTCGTATTTAATATTTCTCATCAGAAACAACAGCAACACAGTAGATTTTTCAAACGGGCTCTTGCTTTTTCATCAGCAGCTTTTTGACAGCTCCTGAAGTTGTTTCTTAGCTTTACAGAAGTCTTCTTTGAAAACCAGTTTCCACCCCAAACACACCCTTAATCATAATTAAATGTATACCTGTTGCAGTTTGTAAAGATCATTCTTAGCATACATATATTCTTACTTTTGGAAATCAACATCAAATATTGGCCATGCTAGTCTGCCAAATTTCTTATTTTACAATGCTTCCATGTTTTGCTTTAGTCAGCATGCGTCAGGCGTCCTGGATTTATTCTGTGTAGTGGAGGGGCTACATATGGTAACCTGCCAACACATTTAAATTCAAGCACTGCTCCAAGGTAATTGCCATCTTTCAATTTTGCTCTTAATCTGAGAGGCCGTTTGGGATTACTTTTTTTTTTTTGTTTTTATTTTTTATTTCTTTAGTTTTATTTATGTTTTGATTTGAAACAAATCATGTTGGCATGTTGATTAAAATATTTTTGTTTTTTAAAACACTCAATGTGCCTAAAATACATGTTAATTTATTTTTAGATACAAAAAATTAAACCATGTAAAAAATACACTAAATAAACATTTTTTTAAAAATAAAACAAAAGATGAGAACAAAAACAAAAAATAAAATTGATCCCAAACAGGCCCTTAGATTTTTTGAAATAACATGCCACTTCTTTCTTGATGCAGTAGCCTAGTTTCAGAGAACTTGTGGAGAAATATTACCTCATGGATGCCACAAAGGGGAACAACTACCAATCAGGTAATATGTTGCGGTCAACTCAATTTAATAACTGGGAATCTGGATAACGATCTAATTTCTTCATCTTTTTTTGTTGATACTCTTGTTGATTGTATGTAAGTAGAAGTTAATTTTCCTTTAATTATGTGAAAAAAGTATATCACTGTTTAATTACTCTAAAGCTATTAGGGATTTGAATGCACATGACTCACTGTTAGATGCTTGCTCCAAAATAAGATTAATTTTAAGGTTCAAATCACACGCACACATTTCTTCACGAAATCCAGCTGGGATTAAAATCTCCTCAAACCAGTAGAACTTTGGCTTTACTGGTGAACTGTTAAGCTTTCTACTAAATTTTATTTTCTTTTCACTTCACTTGCTTCACATTACTCGCAGCATGCTGCCGTTCATATCAGAATATTCTCGTGATTCCTATTCCTCGGTCATTATCAGATATATGATGAGGACCATTGGATTGGGATGTATTTTTGTCATCAACATTTTGATAAATTAATTATTTGCTTTACTATTGATTGCAATTGAAGTTGTGCGCGAGATAAGATTTTTTTTATTATTTAATGTAATTTAATAAGTTTCAATTTTTTGCTATTGATAAAATCCTAAGGTTTGAATGAGTTTTGAAAGTTGAGATTTGTAACCAGTTGCTTCTCTCTCTCTCTTTCTTTCTCTCTTGCGTCAGCGCTGTCAATCTCGCTCTTGAGACTTGTCTCTCACTTTTTCCTTCTCTCTCAATGATGCAACACAAAAATGACAAAATAAAGGAAGTTGTTGAAGATTTAAAATCATGAATTTGTCTAAATGGATGGCCTCTTTCATAATTACTATGTAATAATGGTATAGATTAAATAATTTTTTCCACAATTCTTCAAAGGTAAAGCATCAGTTCATTAATGAAGTAAAGCTTTAGCTTTGAAGAGTTGTGGAAAAATATCTCATGAAACGCAAAAAAAATTGCTAGATAGTAACTGGATAACCATCTCACTCTCAACAAAGGATGAGTATCAGTGTATCACTCTCAACCTCACCAAAGGAAGATATATTAAATTTGCCAATAGGTTAAGTTAAAGTGAGTAATCTTAAATTGTATATCAAAACTCATGTACTACATCCTAAAATTCCATTGTTATGTGTAGGCTTTACACTATGAAGAAAATTAAAAGATATCAGAGTACAATGAAACATAAAATTACATGGAGTTTAAATTAATCAAATTTACATAAATATATAAGTTGCAAATATTTATCGCTTCATTTCATCATATTTTGTAATAATGAGGTTAGATTTTCATCACTTTCACTCTCATCCTCCTTCATTGGCTCGCTTCTATTTCCTCATTGCATGAATGAAGTTTCTTCTCGTCTTTTAATTAATTTAGGTAGTTTCATTAAGAGAGCTCAAATATAACTTTCCTAGACTTGTAATGTCCAATTTTGGTCGAAAAGTCGATAAGGCTGAATAACATGGCATCCATGTCATTGTGTGTGGAATTGAAGTAATTTTCATAGGAATTGCATGCATGGGTGGTGATAAAAGCCAGAATTTATTATTGGCTCAAAGTATTTTCTTTATAAAATACTTGGCAAATTAAGATAATAAGTTTATGAAAATAAGCTTTTTTTAATTAAATTCATGCAAATTATGCTTATATGGCTAGAACGTTCTATGTAATATTTGTGAAGGAGGTAATACATTTTGACGATCTAATGCTTTCCAATCTTCAACATTTTTCTTAACGCTCTTGAGCTGCATCATTTCCTCCTCATAAAAGAATTCTTCTCTAAAGCGTCAAAAAAATTGTAGGATGTACAGATGGTTGAAAGTGTTAATCTACATGAAATAATGTTCTACAGTACAAGGTAACTTATGAAAAATTTTTCAAATCTCAATAATCATTGTATTAGTAATAAAACTTTGAGGAGAGATGACCAAAGATTTAAATGATTTTAAAATAGAAGTGGGGATAACATGAAAAGTGTTTTTAGAATTTTCTTCAAGTAATGTATAGTTTTAGCATAAATAGCTTTCTCAGAAGATTGACAATGTAATTTTAAATTCTTTTAATGAAGTTTAAATTGTTTGTGACTTGCTGCACTAGAGTTAATTTTTTTCTTATTTGATTAAAAATTTGGATTATCTTTGAAAGCTTTCTCTCACTTTGTCTTTTAATGTTAAATGAAAAATAATTGGTTTTGGCCTAATGCACTATGAACAATAATGATAGAGTTATTAAAATATTTTTTTACTAATTTTAGCAAATGAAAGTGATGGAACCTTTAGAACATGTAGTGCTTTTACAAAGATCAGTGTTGTAGGAAGCTTTTCACCATTTGATCTTCACTTGCATAATCACCAAACAAAGCTACTATGCGAATTTGATGAAATGATGCTTAAGTTTTGAAGAATTAAGGAAGAATACCTTAAGCAACACAAAAGAATTAGTAAGAAAGTTACTAGATAATCATCTCACCCTTACTAAAGGATGAACATCACTCTTAAGCTCAGCAAAGGAAGAGAAAGCAAATTTGTCATTAAACTGAGTTTGGTGAACTAGAGAGTAATCCAAAATCATAGTTCAAAAGTAGTGCGTTACATCCTAGAGTTCCTTGACCATATATAGGCTTTACATCATGAAAAAAATTTGAAAACATAGGAATATAGAGACAAAAAATTTTATGAAGAGTCAAAATTAAGTAAGATTTCATAGATATATAAGAAAGAGATATTTGCCTCTTCATAACTTCATCATATCTTATTATAACTATGGGTAGATCTTCATTTCCTGCACTTTCTCCTTTTTTGGCCAACTTTTTCTCTCCTTCATACATTGACGAAATTCTCTCTTCCCTCTTGATTAGTTTGGGGCGTTACATAAAGGAGAGCTCAAATGTAAGTTGCATGCATACCTAACGTCCAATTTTAGCCTAAAAGTTAATAAGGGCTAATGACATTATATCTTTATCATCATGCATGAAATTAAAGTAATTTTATAAGAGTCACATGCAAAATTTATGATAAAAGCATGCAATTGTATTCAGGGTTATTTTAACAAGTATCACATAATAGTACTAGAATATAATGTGATGCTTCATGGTGGTGGTTTAAATATCTTAGATCTGTATATAAAGAAAGTGCATATAACTATTAGAGTTAAAGTTAGGTGGTCAAAATAATAAGAGGGTATAATCGAGACTTAGACTAGTTTAATTGGATACTATGTTAACTAGATTAAATGCTCAGCATTAAGTATGTGAATTTGACTAAAAGATCACTTGAAAATCAAATAATTCTCTATCTGCTCGTGCTCCTATCAAAATTAATGAGCAAAGTAACAAGTCAAGATTATCTTTGATCAAATGAATTTAGTTGAGGTGTGAATCGCATAAAGTGAGCTTAAGATCAAATTTATGCATATATATTCATATTTATATTTGTGTTTTAATGAAATTATATATTTATATATGTATGTATTTAGATTTAAGAATGCCAGAAAATTTGCTTAAATGATAATATTTTTTAGAAGATCTATGATGGATTGAAAGGGTTGATCTTGAGCCATGCTTGAATCATATCTTGATTGGATCATATGTAGCCTTTAATGGGTAATAAACAAGTGAATTGTAACAAAGTTGTGCATAGTAAAAATGAGAAAATAATGATGGATGTGTGACCAACACAAGAAAGGCGGATTGACAAATAATTATATTAGAATGATGGGTGGGTATAACATCCATTAATAACATAAGATGAAAATCAAATTTAATTGGTTTGAACATTGATTACAGATAATAGAAACATTCCAATAAGATGGTTAAATTAAACTAATGTTAAAGAGCAAGAAGAAACGGGTAAACCAATGCTTCCATTGACAGAATCTGTGCATAAAGAGTGGTGCATTATAAGTTTATAATGTCATGTGGCTTTCTGTAGGAACAAATAGATCAGGAGGATTCATAAAACTGAAAAGGGTGAACCAATGCTTCTATTGACAAAAGTTGTGCAAAAAGATTTGCGTATTATGGGTTTATAATGTCATGTGGCTTTTTTGTAGGAACAAATTGATGATGAGGATTCATAAAGCTGGCCCCAAATTGTTGGATTTGGGATGATGTTGTAAGAAATTTATTAATTCCTTCAATAGAGAGTGCAAATTTCATTTTTAGAGTCTTTATCTGATTTCTTGGGTCCTTGGTAGTTAAATGAGGATGAAAAGTATATTTCCAACAAGGTTTGCATGTTAGGAAATGTATTTCTTCTTGTTGCTAGTTTTATCTGATAGTTCTGATTGACATTGTTGCTTGGGGTATGGATTAAAGGTTTGACTATTGATTTGTACAGTATGTTGTAAATTTAGAACGAATCAATTGAGTTGTCTGATCTGTTTTTCCTTCGATTTTACCATGCTCATTGTGGTGTTATTTACCTTCAGATTAGATGACTCCATGATCACTTCTATTTGTTCAACCTGAGTCAATTTTTTTTCCTCAAGGTAAGACATGTAAATACTCTAATCTAATGTTTGGCAGCAAGCTCAAGACTCAAGATTTCCTGGAAGGGCTAGGACACTTGGTTCTGCAAGAAACCAGCCAACACCTGGAGTGGATTCTGATTTAAGTTTGCAGGCTGGACTTTTGGAAAATTCTGATACAAATAACCATTTGGAAACATCAACACTTGCTACTGGAACGCATTTATCAGATGCAAGGTAGTGGTTGGTTCTAATGTTTCAACTTTATAATCGTGTCAATATTTAAGAGTATTTGATTCCTTGATTCCCTTATGTGTCCCCACATTGCCATATTTCAAGCTCAACTAAGGTTGATAATGAGTCAGGTTCAATTGAGTTGTACTCGACTGAAAAATCAAATTAATTTTAAGTTCAGCCAGTTAGACTCAAAATGTTTCATGGACTCCAAATTTACTGAGTTGCCAAAACATAATAAATATAATTTTGGAGGGAGGGATTGAACTTGGGGCCTTTTGCATGAGCGTTGGAAAATCCAAGTCCAAATGCTCCACCTAGGCCAAAACTCAAAATTGAACCCATCCAAGCTGCCTCATTCCAATTGGACACTTGCACTCGACTTCCTTCCACCTAAGCAAGCTTTTTCACCCACTGGCCAACCATGATGGCCTATCCTTCCCTCTCTATTTAAACTCACCCTCCACGGCCAATGAGTAAACAATTACTTTAACCCATCCAAGCTTGAAATTCCTTGATACACCAAAAAAATGAATAAACAATTACTTTATGTTAAAATTATATCAAATATATACAATAATAAATCTTTATCCCACTAAGTGGGGTCAGCACATGAATCATTTTTCTCCAGTATGTCCTATTGAGTATCATATTTTCATTTAATTCTAATAAATGAAGATCATTTTTTTATACAATATGAAATAGGCTTATTAGGTCTACCTACCTTTCTGAAAGTAAAATCTAAAACGTTTAATGTGACCAAACCATCTGAGGCGACTCTCTTATCTTGTCTGCGATTGGTGCTACTCCAACCCTTCCATGGATATATTCATTTTGCATTTCGTCTCAAAGTGTAAAGCCACTCATCCATTTGAGTATTCTCATCTCAGCAACACTTAATTTTATGCTCCTCTTTTATCAGCCAACATTTTGCATTATAAAGCATTGCAGGTCTCACCATCTTATAAAATTTTCCTTAGTGTAAGTGGTACTTTTCTATCATGCAATAGGCTCAAGGCATTCCTCCATTTCAACAAACCAATTTGAATTTTACTAATAACATCCTCATCTATGTCACCATCACTTTGAACAATAGACCCGATATATCTAAAATGTTCACCCATTGCTATGACCCCGCCACCATAGCTACTATTACTAAAATTACATTCCATGAATATAGAATAATTTCAAGCCAAATTGAAGCTTGAATTAGCCATTGTTGAGTAGAGATCAATTAGAAATAGATTTTGAGCCAAGACTCTAGCTCAAATCTCATCTTGAAATTGTTCATGTCAATTTTGATTTTATTAAAACCGAGCTAGTTTTGAGTTTCAGGTATTTGTAGCACCTCTAGGCTCGACAACAAAACGGAAACCACTAGAATTGATTGAGCTTGAATGGAAAATCAGTTCAATTTACAATTCAAGGGTTTTATTTCAAGTCATAATTTAGAAGCATGATTTCAGGGTTCACCTTAATCATCATTTTGTTGAAATCTTATGCTGTTAATATATCTCCTGTTCATTCCGTGGATTTACACAGTTCTTACCTTAATTTACTTCATGCAATGATCTTATTGAGATATATTTATAAGCTTGAGGGACTAGCTGATGAAAATTTCGAAGTAGCCGATATAATTGTTAACTAATTAAAAGTTGAGGGATCGGTCAGCTTCGCCTTTCAAAAATGATGTTCAGTATGAACCATCTCACTTTCAACTTCTATCTGGACGTTTCAATGAAACAGTGACATTGGAATCTCCTAAATGTGGGTTAACAAATCATTTTATTATTCTAACCTTAACTACCAGCTACTATCTGCCATTGCAATATTGTAACCTTGAGGGACTAGCGGAACGGGGCAAGCTGCTTCGATCAGCACAAAACTCTCGAGCGACCGTGGTAGACGAGCAGCGGCCGGCCTAGCAGGGGGAGGAGAAGGGGAAGTCTTCGCGAAGTGAGAGTAGGGGCTTCGGAGGAGCGGGACAATCGAGCGGGGTGATCGAGCAAGAATCAGCGGTTTCCCGAACAGGGGAGGAGAAGGGGGAGTCTTCGCGAAGGGGGCAACGAGCAGGGCTTCGGAGCGGGACGATCGAGCAGGAAGCGGCGGTTTCCCGGGCAGGGGGAGGAGAAGGGGGAGTTTCGCGAAGGGAGCAACCAGAGCAGGGGCTTCGGAGCGGGGCGATTGAGCGGGAAGCGGCGGTTTTCCGAACAAGGCTAGGTTGCTTTCGAGCGGGGCAAAGGAGCGGGGGGGCAAAGGAGGCATTAACCCTCGAGAAAGCCAGACCACGGGGTCGACCCCGCGGCCTGCTTTCTTTCTTTTTAGCGGCAATCAACTGTTGCCGCCGAAGGAAAGCTCACGATAGAATTATTAGCTTTCCGGTTCGGGGCCGCGATGCTCGAAAAACGCGGCCCCAAACGGAGCCTAAATTATAAAATTATGGATGTTGGGACTGCTGCTTTTTTTATTAGATTCATCTCAGGTTTGTTTTCTGGATTTTCTTAACTGATCCAGAACTTAAGTGCTTTATATAATATCCTTCTACTTGCTATTTGATATATTTTTTTGGAAGCCTTGAGATTTGTGGAGTCTGAATGTGTGCCTTAATTATTTCTTTCCTTATTACTCTAGGCATTTTAATGTTCTAACAGACGGCACCACTGAACTAGCCACACATAATCAGGTAAAACTCTATGCCTAGTTTATTTAATTTTGTTTTGTATTTCTTAAAATCGAATGATCTTTTCTTTTATATTTGAAGCAGATTTTAGATAGCTTTGAAGAAAAACTGAAGAAACTAGTGGGGATGGGTTTTGAAAAGGTATTGTGCAGAGAACTTTATTTGTGCACTGTATTTCTGTTTTCTTATAATAGGTCATTGCTTCTATTTACGAAAGCTCATCAACGCCAACCATCTTTCGTTGCGGTTGTTCTGATATTTTTCGGTTAAGCAGTCTTTACTTATAGTTATGTGGTTTTTTTTTTGTTCCTGTGGGTGGTGTTGATTCAAGCAGGATGCAAAAAAGCACTCAATGTGGTTTTGATTATTCATTGATAAAAAAGACCTTGGTGGAATTTTTGAAAGAAATATTACATGAGTAATGCTACACTTTAACATAAATCCAAATTTAAAATGAAGATTTGTTGTAAGAGTATTCACAATTTATATGGCACACACAAAAAGTGGGGGCCATGTTTGTACACCAGTTTTAATCATAAGAATCATGAAATTTCAATTTTAAGTTTAAGTATTTATGGAGTAGAATTTCTCATAATATACATTAAATCTTTAGGTTGCTGGATATTCAGTTTGGTAAGAAAATAAAAAGCATTCAAATCATGTTATTCTCAGCTTTATTTCAATTACTGATAATGAAGGTGAAGGTGCTGGTATTATATTTTGCTCATGTCAGAAAGTTTCTGTTTTGTCCAAAATCTTTTCATTTTTACTTTAGGGAAGAACCTATTTATGTGAACAACTTCTGACTTATTTGCTGCTAAATAACATGGATTAAGCAAAATGGCAATTATATCCTTTGAGCTAAGTGATCGTTGCCGCATTGCAATTTTGCTACTGATTTTTTGGCTGTTTTTCAAAGATTTTTTTGGTGGGGAATAGCGTTTATTACTAGATTCACTACTGTGTGGGCAATGTAAGACAGCCACCACCAGATTTTCTTAACAACAACGACAACAACAAACCTTTATCCCACTTAGTTGAGTCGGGTACATGAATCCTTTTTCTCCATTTCGTCCTATTGAGTGTCATATTTTTATTTAATTCTAACATATTAATATCATTTTTTATACAATATGTCCAAGTCTTTTTAGGTCCACCTTTTCCTTTCTTATCATAAGTCGAGTCTAAAACATCTATTCTCTTAACAAGATCATAAGGTGATCGACGTTTAATGTGACCAAACCATCGAAGTCGACTCTCTTTATTCTACTGGAGCAACACTAACCGGATTTTCTTGAAATTGAAAAAAAAAAAAAAATTATTATGTTCATAATATCTTTAAAAAAAAAATTCCTATATCTCTACAGTTCCTTTTACAAATTGCTGCTGCCACCTTAAATGGTCTCATACTGTAAGAGCACTGTTCATAGCAGTCCTATGTTTATACTATTCAAATTTCTTCATAACTAATAGAGAAGAACTGTATTCCTCATTGTTTGGTTTCATAAACTCATATTTTGCTCTTATTAGTGCACACCTGCTTGCTTGTGGTTATTATTTTAGTTAGTTTCTTGTGCACTCTTTATGTTTCAGTGGCATGTCAGCAAGCCCTATAAACTTTCCAAATCTGATTCATTTTGTCCTTAATTTTTGGGGCAGACTCTTGCTGAAGTCGCTCTTGCAGCTGCTGATGGAGATACTAATATTGCTATTGAAATCCTCATGAGTCAGCAGGCATCCAACTCTCTCATTAAACAAACTACTACATCTTTTTTGGGGGCATTTACATTTATAGCACACAATTCTTATGTATTTGCATATCTAACCCCTAAACTTTCATATTTACATGCATAACACTTGAAAGATAGTGATGCTTTCTGTTTCATGCATGGATATATAACATGAAAGTACATGCATAACACTTGAAAGATAGTGATGCTTTCTGAAAGTGAAATTCACCTTTTCATGCATGAATGTATAACATGAAAGCGTTATAGCTGTAAATATGGAAGTTTACGTGGTATG